AGACTCCTTGAAATGAGTATAAAAGTTAATTTATAAGGGCGTACAATCAATACATGCCCAACGTAAACCATATTTTTCGCGATCAGTAAGAACATCAAAATGGCGGCCATTAAGACCTGCACATTTTAAATGTTCATGTTTATCGCATAGCCAACATGTTAATAAACGTTCTTTAAAATTAGTAGTTTTACAATTTTTATTCGAGCACTTCATGTTAATACGAAATACTAAAGGGAACAGTGTATTAGGGAAATAGTATAGTAATCAATTTACCGTAACAGCCTAAAAGTGTGCCCAGGAAAGCTAATTTAATACGTCCAGAACAGCTAAAGGTCAAAGACAAAAGAAAATAACACTCCGTTGTAAGTAACAAACACAGAAAAGAAAATTTAAATACCAAATGATCAACGCGTATATTATTAAATTTAGTAAAATAGTATAAAAACACTTATTTCACAAAAACGCCACACTTTTGCAAACTATTGAAATGTATGTATTTAAAAAATCACAATCTAAAACTTCTAAAAAACACAATAACTGCTACAGTTTAAATATATCTTAATATGATTGACGACACACAGAAAAAGCACTTGCAAGCGAGCAGAGTTGGCAGACTACTAAACACTCAAATTACTATACTAAAAATAAGTCAATACCTTGTTTTTCAATAATAATGCCAAGATTTGTCATTTTGAAATGTATTTAATTTTGTAATACAGTTCTGTTTTTACTCCACTTTTGCACTGATCCCACTGAAGAAAGCAATTAACTACATTTTCTTTTTTTATGCTATTCTCGAAGTGGACCGTTAGAATAAGGCCATGATTATTATGTTTTCTAAAAAGAGATCATGCGTGCACATTTGACAATAAATATATGATTTTAATTTTTTGAATTTTGGCCAATGGCAGCGACCACTATGCGATTAGAGGCTCATTCAGATTCATTCTTTTTCACTGCCAAGCCATTTTCTAATTCGTCCACATGTACCAAACGTGTACTTCTATGGCATATAGCGAAGATTTGGGTTCAACTGTTAGCAGGGTATTAAAAAGGCTAACCGACTCCAAGAATTTAACGACGCTCACGTTGGACAAGGAATCGTTGTGCTCTCTTACCCTGACGTCCCGGTTTTGTTCTGCACGAAAAGTCGAGGCTATGATGAAGGTAGATAGTCGGGTAAACATTAAGATTCCTTCTAAAGACTTGCCTGCATACTTCAAGGACAATTATGTCAACTTATGCCTGGCCGACTCAAAATTCTATGAGCGTTCTACCATCGACATATTTATTAAAGCTGACCTGTACACTAAAATAGTCATAGAGGGTACAATTTCAAGACTAGAGCTGTCAACCGGCATCAACACCATATTTGGCTGGGCCATTTATGGACCTTAATCGTCCTTGTTTCTATCCTGAAATACACATGCTTTTTTAAACATATACACATTCTGAAATAAAACAAAACTGAATTCCATTGAAAAATTTGCACTATTCTGTATTTATTTTTATTCTTATGAGCGACACACAAACATTCCTTTTCTGCAAAACACATCATTTCATTCAACCTTCAGTTTCTGACAATTTACAACCATTTCAGATTACATTGTAATCCGCTCACGTATTCATATATATATACGTTCTGCTTTTAAGTTCGAAACATGTCGTTTGTGCTTTCACGGACTTTTCCTTTTCCTTTTTTCACTTACTTTCAATTTAACCAAGCGGTAAGAATTCTTCCTTTCAATAGACAAGACAATTTTTTTTCGAATTTGTTTAAGCAAAATTCTAATTCTACTTGTGTTTTTATTTCTTCCTTTTTTTCTGATTCAACCCGAAATCCATTTGGGAGAAATATTGTGTTTCGGTTTTCGCTTTCATCTTCTACAGGAAAATTACCGACGATTCCCTGGTGTTTCAAACATTACGAAAGCAGAAGTTAGAAATAGAATGATATTATACACTACGAATTCACTTATTTATATTAGATGCGGAATAGGTTAAATAAAGGTTGCGTAAGTTTAAAGATTACAAACGATCTCATTTTAATCATCAATCGGTTTTCTAATTTTTTAGGAATTAATATCATAAAGTCTTATTAAATTTAAAAACAGATGTTGGACCTTATTGGTCCTCCTTACAAATAACCTTCATGGATATGGAACCAATTTTTTATTGATTGGACCGAGGTAATGCATATTCTTATAGGATTTGCCCTTTGTTAAAGATTAAGAAATGAGAGACATGCTAATGGCTATTCATAACAATATTTACAAATTATGGTTTCTCTATATGAATCGTTGTAAAAAAGATCAGAAGCGCGCCATTCGTGTATTTCTTAATTCGCCTGGAATTCACTTTCTGATTTTCGTGGAATAGACATTTTAGTATTTTTCCCACAGAAATTGAGGCCCATTTTTCCGCTAACTGTTATAAGATGGTCATCCAAAATGTTTGGCAGGGCCGATACCGCACCCCCACTTAAAATTTCCGAAGGATCGGACGATAATTATGACGTGTCAGATAACTTTCAGTTTTTGGTTTATTTGAACCCCTAAATATTTTGCGATCATTTCCAAAAACATCAGGCTTCTATTCTGACACTAACCCCACCTCCATATAACATTTTGTGAGGATCGGGTCATAAATGTGCCCGGTATATAATATCCTAACAATATAGTGCTATAAGGAGTAAAAATATTACAAAATGTAAAATTCAATATTGAAAGTCAAAATTAAAATATCTCATGCGACAAAAATGTGACAAAATTGAAAAATATAAGAAAATATTACAAAATCAATATTCTCATCTTTGTTGGGATCTTTCCATGCGTTTTTGTCTAGATTTTTTTTTTCTGTCATTCTGAATTGACAAGATTTGTCAAAAACAGTCCACTTATTATTAGAATGCTTAGCGAATATATGTCGATGTATATATTCGATATCTTCATTATAGAAATCTACATAACGGTCAGAATTCGTCTTTTCCTATATTTGAAATTTCACCGGGATTAAGAATATTCGCTCAATATTATCTGAAGGAAACCCAAATTGGGAAGCTTCTGTCCAGTCTTAAGCTCTAGCCCCATGCTAAATTCCGCGTGAATTGGTCTACAATTGTGGCCTGTAACGTGATTGCAAATTAACATAGCTAGATCGGCTCAGATCAGCAAGATTGGAAGATCAATATATACATTCCTATGTGGGAGGACAAAATTTCGAAGTGTTACATAATTTTTGGCACAATCAACACAATCAAACTTTAAAAGTGTACACTCCTTTTCAATGTGTAGGGTATAAACATTATGAATGTTTAGAATTCATTCTTTAATGTAAACATGGTACGTGAACGATTATTTGTGCCTTCACTGACAGTAGATGTCTATTCTCGTCCTTTTGTTGGCATTTATAATCTTTCTCTAAAAATCATAGTTTATGGATCGCCGTAAAAACGGACGTTGTATTTCATGTTTTTTTTCGCTCATATTAGCAGAGGGCAACGGCCACCACATGTAAACTAAAGAGAAAGAATAAAAGGCATAAAAAATTACAATATTGTAATTCAAAAGCTGCAAGTGTTTTCTTTAATATCGGGAATGGAAAATACTGTTTACATTTTCAGCCCATGGCTGCCTTATTCTTAGTCCGTATTACTATTCAGTCTAAATAAAGAATAGTCTCTCAAGCCCTCGTTGGTCCTCATTCCCCCTAGCCAACACATTCTTTGGACTCATTTCAGTTTTTTTATATTGCAATTTTTATTCATAAGTGTCCAGAAGGCTACCAATACGTATTCTAGAATAGGTCTAGTCATGTTTCTGTACAGCCGGTGATACATCACCATCATTTCACGATTACAGAAGGTAGAACAAATCTACCACCTTAATACGATTTACAATTCTTTTGATGCCCCTATTCTTTTACAACATATACACATTTCGTGTATGTGTGTATTGTTTTGAATAAAAAAATACAATAATTATAAATTATTTCAAATTCAGTTGCAACAAAAATGCATATTTTCGACGTTAATGGGCAATGGAGTGTACAAATTCGGGATAAAGTTTACGATGGGTGATGTTGCAAATGTCATCCGTAACGCTAAGTCATTCAAAGCGTTGGGTCCGGACGGAATCTCAATGGTAATGTTGAAGCAGCTGGATACGCCGGGAGTCGAGTACTTAACGAAAGTTCTCAATTTGTCGCTAGCCACCTGGAAAATGGGCCGGGTGGTCCCGCTACTGAAGCCAGGCAAGATTGCCAGTAAAGGCGAATCGTACAGGACGATTTCACTTTTGTCGCCAGTAGCAAACACTCTTGATGCTTTACTCCTCCCCAGCATTAGAGAAAGCTATACAGTTGCCAACCTCCAGCACGGATTCCGTCCACAACATAGTACCACAACAGCATTACACGCCATTTCCACACATATTAGTAGAGGACTGAACCAGAACAGGCCGTGTGACATCCCAACCATCATATGGTGGATAAATCTCCCCCACCCAGGCGTGTCAGGAAGGACATACATAATCTAGAGAGGGAGGTCCAGCGCTACCAGAGAGAACCTCTAGATCAAGAAGCCTATTAGGCAGGTCTGAGTGGCATTCACACCGATGCAGTCGCGGATGCTATTAGCAGTTATAAAGTGAATGCCGTCCTCGGAGTCCACCCCCATCCATTGCAGCTGAAGAACGTCAGCTACCTAGACAAACCAGGGTAGTTTTGGCGCAATTACGTTCAGGATGGTGTAGTCGTCTCAATTCGTATTGGGCACGAATTGATGAAGATGTGCGTGACGCCTGCCCGGCGTGCGATACAGGCCCGCACAATACGCTACACCTTTTTAATTGTTCAGCCAAACCTACCCAACTCACTCCAGAGGATCTCTGTCTACAGCCCGTTAAAGTAGACGAATTTCTAAACCTGGAGCTGGAACCAGATTAGCGGAACGCAAACACATACATGTACTACTGCTACGACAACAACAACAGCCTACTCACCAAAGAGTTTCTAGGAGATTCGTTTAGCTACTCTTGTTTTATAGTGTTCCTTAAGCTTGGTGTGGCAGCTATCCCAGTGTACTGTAAGATTTTCACGTGCTTTCGGGTCTCTCTATCTTTATAACGAATTTCTCATGTCATCCAGGACTTTTCGCAGGCAGATTTTCTGGCTCGAAGAGGACAGCTATTTTCCATTGACTTCATTATGGTGGTATTGTCGACTTTATTGTCTATGTCTGCAGATAGTCGCCTTTGTTCTGCCTAAGAGTTTCTCTTAATAATCTTCCGTGATTTGTCCAATTAGTTTTGGATTTATTGCGAAAGATGATTGGTTTGTGCTGAGGCCGCGCTAGGTTAAACCTAATTTGCGATCAGGGAACGAATATAAACATATTAGAAACTTTTGTAAATAGATTTATATTCAAATAATTTTAACTGATAACAAGACAAAGAACTTAGAGCAGATTCAGGGCAATACACGAATTTATTTATAATTTAGAGACTTCGAGAAAAATCTTAAAGAAAATATATATAAAGGGGAGATTGGAATTTATACTGAGTTACATGGTCACAAAGATTACATACTTCAACAACAATTAAATGAATAATTTAAGGGTATATAACAGTAATGTTTGTTATTTGTTCTATTTTTAAATTCAGAAGATGAAACATGCCAGCAAATTAATCAATATCACAAACATTAAACTTGACATACCATCATTGCAGAATACTATGAAGGTTTAAAAAGAAAAAATATTTTCCTAAAGTGAAGGTTTTCATATAAAAATATGTAAATAAATGCGACCCTTCAAAGTTCGACCGTAAACCCATAAAGGATAGATTCAAATTAACCAAGACATCTACCGATACAGGAGAAATCATTCATATGAATATTTATACAACTTGGAAATCTAATTTCTTAACGTTGATAGATCGATTTTATACCTATACCTATTTAGATTATATAACTAATCAGACAATAGTTGAAAAAACTCTGTTATAAAAATCAAAGATGTTATGTACTAATATGTTAATAATAAAGAATGAGTTCAAAAGTGTGAAGCTTAAAGAATATTTTAGAAATGAAGAGATAAAGTTACATTTAGTAAAATCGAATACACACAGGTAATTCAGATATCGAAAGTTTGCCCAATACTCTCTCCGAAAAAAAAATAAAATAAAATCTTATTTATAGAAGAATTACCATTAGGTATAAAAGATAAAATGAGAAATGGGATATATATAAAACTATAAAGTTGTTAGATATAAGGAAGAGCCCAAATTTTGGTTAATATGCGAAATAATTATACCAACAAAAATAATAAATGAAGCCAAATACAATAGGGGAGTAAGTACACATCAATTTTCAGATCTTTTTATAATTTATGTTCTTATTACTTAACATAAAACAAAAACTTTTGTTTTACTACCTATGATTGTAATATACCTGCATTATTCCTTCTTACTTCATTTATGCAAAATTTTTATATTATTACTCAAAATTTTTTTCAAAGTTATGTATTTGTACCCTGATTCCGGGAATATATTTTTTTCTTGGGAACGGACCCTGATACCCAGTCGTAAATATTCCGAGTAAAGCGAGGAACAATATTATCGGGGCTACACAATAACAACACCTGGTATTGACATTGTTTTGCTACAGGAGATAGAATCCATTAGGAATTTTAAATACCGAATGTTAAGCTATTCTGCTAGAAACTGAGGCTAATATCAAACTCTATGTAATCTTTTAGCTTTCTATCACATGCCGTTTGGACTGTAATGTGATTACAATAGACGAACAGAAGATTCTATATTGATTTATAATTTTACGCTGATCAAGAATATATATACATTGTTGGGTCTAAAATGAATATTTCGATGTGTTACAAACGGAATGATAATCCTAATATACCCTGCATACCATGGTACAATAATTTCAAAGGTAGGGCATAGCAATCACCTGTGTAAATTTTTTTTTCTTTTGGTAATACGTCTTGTAATGTAATGTCAAATGAAATGCATATGTTTTATTTGTGTATGTATTTCTTTATACTAAAAACATGTTGTGACACTCTGAATATTTATTTTTTTAAAATAACTTTAACTTAATATTGTACAATCACATACGTTTGCACTTTTTATTGAATACTAATTTTTGTAGAAAATATTTTTACTCACTTCAAATTTTGTTCTCTTTTGTGTACATACAATTTTCAAGTTTGTTCTCTAATTAATAAAACTTTTATGAAAAATAAATAGCCACCGCGTTTTATCTCTACAATATTATAAGAGGTTATGGGCGATATCAAGCAAGAGTCAATCCACGGAATCGTGCAATTCCGTGAAACTCATTTTGAGAACTGAAATTTTCGAGTGCAAATGTATTTGGATTCGTTGGATTTGCTGGATGCCATAGAGAAAACTCCACTAGCCGAAAAAACTTAGCTGAAGCATTCCTTGAAACGTATAAAAAGGCTAAGACACCATAAGCCTAAAAGCAGATGATTATTTGGAATGTGTTCGCGACATGAAGCAGCGAACTGCTAAGAAGTCGGTTACGAGTCAGACATTGGTAAGGAAAAATTAAGCGGTTCTGGTGATGATTTGCGAAAACATTTAGTATTGTTTGATGAGCTTTTACGAAAATTAAAAACGTCTGGAGTAAATGTGGATGAAGGGGATGGTTTTGACCCGGTAGTGGCCGCGTTGGAAATATGAATGAAGAAGACCTATCTATCGAAATAGTTAAGCAAATGTTATAAGCGGATGGTGTGAAGAGGCAAGATCATTCTGACATGGATATTACAACGACATCTGCATTTAGTGGTGTGAAGAAGTCGAAAAAATATTCCTTGGTGTATGATTGTGCTGTAAGAAAAAGGGCCATAAACAAAAGAATTGCCGCGTTCGTTTGGAAAATAAAAAAGCTAATATAGCGTCAGCTTCGAAGTCAATTTGATTCATGTCTGCGGTACTTTTTGCAAATTTGCATCAATTTCAGGAAAAAGAAAATCCTCAATTGCTTATAAGATGGACCGTCAAGGAGCAAGAAGAGAAAGAAATGCAGCCACGAGTACGCAATTTGAACCACCAAACTCTGAAGCTGTTTCATTGGAGCCAAGAAGAAGCGAAAGATTAAAGGCGAAATTAACAGGTTATATAACAGGAGATGCCAATTCTGCAATTTCCATTGTATAGTGGAGTCGAAAACATATAATGAAATCATGAGGGATTCCTTCAAAGATAATTGGATGTGATGGAAAAACTTGACTTTATTGAAGAAAATGGGATTTGGTTCCACGCCCTGTCAATCATAAAGTATTGAAATCCAAATGGCTATTTCGCATCAAAGATGACGTAAATATTAATACCGTTCGAAAGTAGCGAAAGGCTTCCTTCAGAGAGCTGGAACTGAGTAAGAAGAGATCTATTCACTGGTGGCGAAACTTAGTACAATCCGGATAATATCAGCGGTGACCATAAAAAGAGACATTAACATTTGTACCAGCTTAATGTAAAAGCTGCATTTCTTTACGGGGATTTAAAAGAAGATATTTACAAGTATGAAAGTTACAAAAGTTGATTTTTGGACTTAATCAGCTCAAGATGCTGGAACGAAAAATTTAACGATATCTTGTTCCAGCTTAGTTTTAAGAAATCTTTATATAGTACTTGTCTTTATACAATGTTTGAAAGAATTCGGAAGAATTTGTACTTGCTACTATATGTGGACGATGTATTGATTGGGAAATGCTTTGAAAGCAATAGAGAAGGTAAAACCCGATCTACTTACAACATTCAAAATGTCCGATTGTGGATCCCTACAATATTACTTGGGAAGATGATAGAGCTAAAGGTACAATGAAGCTGAATCAGAATAATTACATTGAAAAGATTCTTGAACTATTCTCAAGGAAAGAGTGCAATCCTACAAAAACTCCAATGGAAAAGGCATTGATTCTTCCAATAGAAAGCTCTTGGATTAGAAGCTCTTTGGATTAGAGAATTCTTAAAGATTTGAATGTTCTAAATGAGAATAAACCTGTTATAATTTATGATAATAACAGAGGATGTATTGGCATAGCGCAAAATTCTGACTGCAAAAAAATCAAAATTTATTGAAGTGAAGTATCACTTTATCCGAAATTACATAGCCAAAGGAATCATAAAGCTTCAACATATATCAACATAGTCGTATCAACATATATCAACAAAATCATTGGATACAAGCAAATTCATAAAGGTTCGAGATGAACTACAATTGAAACTCAGTAATTTTAATATTGTTTTAATCACAATCCTTTCCATTTTTTGTTGAATACTTATTTTTGTAGATTTTTTACTCGCTTCAAATTTGATTACCCTGCGTGTACATACCATTTCAAGTTTGTTCTCTAATTAATAAAACTTTTATAAAAAATAAATAACGACCGCGTTTTATCTCTGCAACAATTTTATATGAAAAAAAAAAATAATTTTGAAATTTATCAAATTATGTTAGAACCTAAAATTAAATGCTTTGAGAAGAATATATTTGTGAATTGTGGAATAAAAAGAATTTGTTGCATTTGTTATTAGTCAACTTGAAACTCAAGACCATAGGCTCAGAGTTGTGTTTTCCATATTTATGCATCCTGCCCTACCTTGTAGTTATTGTACCATGCTCTATACTATGTTTGCGGGCGGTATAAAATAAAGAGATTTTAAACCCGATATATTAAAGAAACTTTCATAAGCAGCTTGAAGATTTCGTATGGCATATTTTGTGACATATCATAATGGGATGTCAATGCCGTGGTCCCATTCGTTTCCCCTTATAATTTAACTTTAATATGCCTAGACACTATGCTAAGTTTATTGTGTGTTTGGATACAAAATTGTATCCGGATTAACCACATTATCAGGATTTATTGCTTAAACTGGATTTATTCAACCAGATTTACCATACAAAACCAGTAAAGCCGGTCGACAAAAATAACAAATTGGATGAACAATATGTATGGGAGCTATAGCTATATCTGAAACGATTTCGATCAAACTTGGTATACTAGTTTTCAGGCCTAATTTGGTCCATACCATTAGGGCTGATATTACACGTTTGGTGAATAATCGGACGAAGGTATATATGGGAGCTATATCTATATTTTGAATGATTAGCTCCAATACCGTTCGTCCTTGGGTCAAACGAATGATTTGTGCAAAATTTCATCTGGATCGGGCAACAAATGCGACCTTTGCTTTGTTTACAAGAACACATGGACAGACGGACGGACGGATGCATAAATCGACTCAGAATGTGATTCTATGCAGATCATCAAAAAGAATCATGAATCTAACTTTGCCTGCTACAAGCAAATGCACAAATACATAATATCCTGACCACCTTATGGTGTTGGGTATAAATAGATCCTTCAGGGCTAGATTTATTTTAAATCCGGCGTAGAATCTACATAATAACGAAAAGCATCACTGTCTACAGGATTTGTACGGCATGTTTTCGCAAAGGCGTTCTTTACATTTTACATTGGAACAATATCAAAAAAACTTAAAATTTTATTTGCTCATTATAATACATTGGAAGATGCATTATTTCCTTGCAAAAGGTAAACAAGGTATATACAAATTTTTTCCAACATAATTTTTCTCTATATTAGGTGTTTTAGTAAATAATTTTTGGGTATTTTTTGCAATTTCTCAGGATTGTGTATGCATACTTAAGCAAATTTCAGCTTAGCGAAAGGGTGTATCTTAAAACACAAAATAAACCCACTTGTTCTAATAAACCCAGTGTATTTATCTTTAAAGTTATAAATGCACTTTTATGCTGCTGCAATATAGATTATATTCTTCCTTGAATTTATACCTTTAAACGGAGGTCGGGAATAAAAGCGCGTTTTGGTACAAAATTTCATCCGGATTAATTAATCGGCCCAATTACGGTTGTCGTTACTATAGTCGTCGTCGACTTTATGTGCAAGTCGCCCTCGCCGTCGCTTAGATTCAAAAATGGTATTATGGTAAGGCATAGAAGCAACATCGTCAGTTTGAAATAAAAGTTGGCAACAATTAAAAAACGTTGACAACTATCCCTTGTTATTGACAAAAAGAGATAATTTTTTTTGTATTTTGAATTCGACTCTTTCGGAAAAATAAAAAATATAGTGAAAAAATGAAGATTATAAATGCGTTACATATCTTAAGTTCAAGTGAGGATGAAGAGAAGAATGTATTAGTAGTGCAGCGGCGAGTGTTAAGGCAGCCAACAAACATATTTGCATTGCTGGCTCTTGAATATGTTGTTTCAAAAGTTTACGCCGCTCTTTCAAGAGTTAAATAGTTTCTACTTTCCTTGATAACTTTTTGCCATTGTTTTTTCTGGGCGATCGAGAAGCTTCAATAGTAGGTTACATCAGTCTCGTCATCAGCATTGTCCACTTGCTCATTTTCATGAACTATAACGTCTATTACACTTATGTTTTTCCAAAGTGATTTTCTAAAGATCATCGGCCGTCCTCAGACTAATAAAAGCGTTAGTCGGGAATACTTTTCCAAGACTGGCTCTCATTAAGTTGAGTGGCTGGTAATTCATTTACACAGGAGTTTCGGCTCGCTGTTCCACAGGAGTTTCGGCTTGCTGTTCCACAGGGGCTTCGGCTCGCTGTTCCACAGGAACTTCGGTTCGCTGTTCCACAGGAGCTTCGGCTCGCTGTTCCACAGGAACTTCGGTTCGCTGTTCCGTATTATAGTCAAGTGGAGTAGAAATAGTTATAGAATCGTAGCTAGGCTAGTAACCTCGCACCGAGCTGCCGAACGAGCCACGATCCATCTACAAAGCGTAACGCATCGGTTGCCGAATCTACCCTCAACGAGCTGCCGAACCCGAACGAGCCCCGATCCATCTACAAAGTCTAACGCATCGGTTGCCGAATCTACCCTCAACAAGTTCTCGATAACCATCAAATCGTCAACAGAACGCATCACCCGAACACAATCATCGTAGTTCCTGATCGTCGACAACCGACGAACACAAGTTTCCGATTACCTTCAAATCGTCAACAAGTTCCCGATTACCATCAAATCGTCAACAGAACGCATCACCCGAACACAATCATCGTAATTCCTGATCGTCGACAACCGACGAACACAAGTTCCCGATTACCTTCAAATCGTCAACGTAAGCGTCACCCGAACGCAACACCGTAATTCCCGATCTTCCCCACAATCAACCTCCGACGGTCATCGCCGAGTATTCGATCGCCTTCAAGTCGTCGACTAATCACACCTCACATCAACCACCCGAGTATTCATTGTGTGCACCCGACATCATCGTTCTCGATTGTCCACGAGTCGTACACCCTCCTGCATACGATACGAGTTAACATCGAATTCCCCATCATCAACTAAGCATCAGTACCTTGAAATCACGAACATCTCCGAAGTCCATTTGCCATCCAATATTCCATATTTATCTTATCGTATTTTAACCCGAGTAGAATGTAATTTAGAATTAAAGATCAATAAAACATCCGATTTTTACCCCCAGGAAAGGGAGAAATCTACTCTTATTATTTCATAAGGTTTAGTGGGTCCTTATGGAGACCCTGGATACAGCTGAGCTTACCTCAGCCGACGAGAAAACCACGTTACAGCCCTACGCGGCGACAAAATGAGCCGCGTAATTTCGTCGTATGGAACACAATACCGACGAAATTATAAAACAGCTGTTGAAGTTGTTTACTTTTTGCTCATTTGTTGACTACAATGAATCAGAGAATTGCAAAGTTTATTAAAATTGTTAAAATAATTAACATAATGTATATTATGGTAAAAGCTTATCTGCTTGTGCGAAAACGTTTATGGAGAAGATGGTGGGTACGGCCAGCGAATATTTAAAGAAATACCGAAGGATTCCAGAGAATGGCTTTTACGGAGCTAAAATTAAGAGATGAAGAGCAATTCTTTAAAGCTACATGGATGACAGTGGAGAAGTATAATGCTCATCTAGATTTGCTTAAACCACGATTGCAAAGATTTTCAAAAGGAAAGGTGTTGAAAGGTTTGGAAACTTAAATTTATAGTGTTAAATAAAATAATAATATATGATGTATATTTTATGTGAAAAGATTTTACACGAAAACAGGTATGCCGCATTGTGTTGGGGCTATTGATGGCAAGCATGTCAACATCTTATGTCCAAAAAATAGTGGTTCACTTTTTTATAATTATAAAAAAAAGTTTTTGCATTGTGCTAATGGCGGTATGTGACGCCACTTATGTCCATCTTCTCTATTATAAATTCACTGATACCCATTTTCACTCAGGCGCAAGTACACAAATAAATACGCATAGTAGAGTGACCATAACAAATTTTAAAGTGAAAAGTAACTTTATTTACTAAAACACATAAAATTCGTACAAGTATGGCCACCTTGTACTGTTTTGTTCGCCGTTCGCCGGCGTATGAAATAGAAATAAAGCTAATTGAGTTCGCGGCGTCCGACGAAATTTTCGCCGGCGCCGTGATTGTGTGCATTTCAATATACACATATGTTTTTTATTTTTGACGACGAACATACGCCGCGAAAAAGTCGTTCGCTCCAATTATGTTCCTAGCATAATGATGCAGGCTCAGCATTTTTATCTGAATTCGCTTTGTTCCAGAAAATGAAAGACTCTACTAGTTTTGCAATTTTTTCGATATCATAAAGGAAAATGACAGTATCATAAAAAACTTACCAGGATTTGCAAAAAAAATATGAAGTTGTTAAAGGGCAACCCAGAAAATACTTAACATATGTAAAAATATGACTTCTTAAAGGAATCTTTTAGACAAAGCGTAAAACTACATTTACAATTCACAGCAACAGAGAGAGATAGATACAAATGCAACTAAACACCAGGTGTGTCTGGTTACTTTTCCTGCAAAAATTGTCCAGCAACATCTTTCTGAGAGAGTAAGGTAGTTTTATTCTCTTTTGCAAGGAAAATGTGAAAAGTAAACAGACGATATTCCTGCAGAAGCTAGTTGCAAACTAGCTGATTTGTCAAAACAAACCAAATTGTCCCCCTTTAAAATAATTAACCCTTTCGCTACAAGTTTTTACTGGGTTGCTAAATCGAATTTTTTGGATTTCTACTATTATTTGCTGTGTAAATAATAATCAATACTTACATCTTAAAAATTTTAATCCTAAATGTGTTTTTCAGAATGTATCCCTATGGATACAAAAGTACTGAGTGGAAAATAAAAATGCTGGTATGTTATTTTATTTAATTATTGAAATTTTATTTTTATTAGTAGTTTTGAAATACAAAAGTAATTTTTGATTAAGAGCAAATTTTGCTTTATGTAGAAACTAAAACAAGTAAAAATATAATTCATATCATTACAATAAAATAACACAAAATAAATTATTAATCCATATTTAATATATAAAGTATAATCTGAAAAGAAAAAAAATATTGCACTTTGAACATTTGAATCGTGTTTGTCCTTTACATCCTTCGACTTTACATCTACATTTATTCGTCATGTGTTCTGGCAAATGCTGATAACCGTCATATCGAACAGAATTTGAAGGTGTGGCTTGACGATTCCTCTTGAGGGTCATTGCGTTCGTTGAAGATTCTTCATTTTGGCATAATGTTGGGCGTCCACGCAAACGAGAACTTGCCTTCTGCTTTGATTCTTTTCCTCTGGAACAGTTTTTACAAGATTAATTACAATATCAGAACAAAAACCTAGCCCTTCGCCTGAAAGTATTGTTGCCTTTCCCTGATATATCTCAAAATCATAAACTATACCCTTTGAACTGCATAGGCAAAATATTTTCATTCCCCATTTGATGGGTTTTTTAGGCATATACTGTCTCAATGAAGTTCTTCCCTTAAAAGGGACCATCATTTTATTCACACAAAGATTTTCATCTTTTGGAATATGATAAGACTTTTTTGTGAACATATTTATTATAGGACGAACCTGCTGGTTGGTCTACTGTAAACTTTAAATTATTTCGCAAAGAATGAAATCTATTCTTGCTCTTATTGTCTGGGAATGATGGTATTACGGTGCCCATTTTCCAATACATGTCCAAACCCGGATATCTAATGGTACCAATCAGTATTTCTAGAGCTATAAAATTTATTAGTTCAACCTTTGATAAATTTAGAGACTTTCCACATTTAGCCATTGATGCATGGTTTGTTGAATATACTATTTGTTGACGGAAGTCTTCTGTAAAGTACTCCAAGAAATACTCGACAGGCGATTTCATATATATATTTTTTTTTTTTTTGGGATATGTTTCAGAAAAAGAAGTATCTTGGTTAGCCAAATTATCTTTTTTTCCAGCGAAATTGTGCAGCCTTTTTATGTGGAACACGTGGAGTTTCGGAAATTATTGGACTCTCTTGAACGGTTACCTCTGCTGCAAGACGTTCCTCGATCTCAATAATTCCATCGCCTGCATCGTTATCGTTATCAACATTGATATCTTGTAAGATAATTTCATATGGACCTTCTCTAGAAAGTTCGTTTACTAAAAAGCTGTTATTATTATCAAAAGCATTGTACAAGTTGCTTATAAGTTCAGATTTTTCCGATTCATCCGAAATATCCGAATCATCAAAATTGATTAAAATTTTTTCAATTTCAATTTTTAAGCCTGTTTGCCATTTTTTATGTTTTAATATTGTATGGGTGCAGAAAAATAACGTCTGTATCGTATCAACATCAACCGCAAAATGATTTGCGTGGATAATGTTTACTACCACAACTCTCGTTTGTACCCATATGGATACATACAATTTTGAAAAATTGGCAGAGCTTTACTTTGTTTTAAAATCAAAAATTATAAATGGCGAAAGATAAAATAAACGTTGCTCTTTATAACTGTTAAGTTGTAGAAAAAATAATATTGGTATTTATGCATGTATTTTGCAAAATAAAATAACCATTTTTATGAAAAAAAAAATACCGAAAAAATTGTCTCTATTAAATTGCTATATTTTTGTCAGTTTTGTTAAGAATAACTACAATTTATTTTGAAACTTGATAAGAAAGCCTTAAATAACAAGTATTTGTGTATACTTAGGCCAAAACATCGATTCCGAAATTGCAAGATGAGCTTAAAGTTCAATGTATCCATATGGATACAATGGAGCGAAAGGGTTAAAAGAAAGCAAGCAAAAAATAGCAATAAAATAAAAATATAAGCAATAAAAGAAAGATAGATTAGATGTGTTCCCCGGAATCCTTTAATCGTGTTGCAAATGGCGTTTGTCTAAAAATTTTCTTATTACAGATTAATATTTAGGTTTTTTAACATTTTGTTAAGTTGTTCTCCAAAAACAATTAGTGTTGCTTATTCCAAACAAATATTTTCAAATTGAAAGCACAAAAAGAAATAAACAAACAATGCAAAACATCTGATTAAATGTTGATGAATGAGTAGAAGAAGAGTGATTGCAAAAAGAAATTTGTTTAGCAAGAATTTGCAAAATCTCACTGAAAGAACTATCAAAATTTCTCTCTCCAACCGCTCTCTTTTGCAGAACTTTCGGCTTAACAGACAACTTCCAGACTAACCAGACACACCTACTATAGTAATCAATCCCATGGCGGCCGGTTCTATGTACCGGATTGACTCGGAGGTACAAATCTCCGACCAGGGGCCGCCAACCCAGCAAATACATGTTCGTGTTCGTTCATTTGTGTGGAGCAATATTACCCGGAATGTTTGCTCCGTATTCTCTTAGTCCGAGCCGGGATCGAGACCAACCCCGGACCATGGATCTGTTCCGTTTGTTGTAATCGCATCCAGCACTGATCGGTCTCGGTGAAATGCAACGGATGCATGGAGTGGGTGCATTTCCGGAATTGTTCCGGCTTAAACCGGATACAGGAGTACAGAGATAGGGACTACATTGCTTCCTGCTGCGTCAATGTAGACCCCAGTGAGTCTTCATCTTTGGTGTCCTCATCGTCGTCGCAATATGAGACTCCCCCACTTCATAGTCTGAAGAACATTAAGATCGCAGCGATCCAGGAAACGTAACTGAGTACCACCTGCAGGCTTCAAAGTTTTGATGAATACAACGTACTAAGGAAGGAGCGCTCCAGGGGTGCACGAGGAGGATTAGCGTTCCTATTGCACCACTCTGTCCAGTACAGACCTATCTCGCCTGAGCTTGGCTCTAGTGACCCGTACATGGAATGTATGGGGGTAGCGGTCAAGTGTGGAACCGCCGAGGTAGAGGTGCTCAACGTGTACATTCCGCCGTTTAATAGCTGTGCCCCACGTTATATGCCCTGGACGAGTAGTTGTACGTCTGATCTGCGCTAAATCCAGGGTAGCTCCTTTGAAAAAACAAACTCTACCACGATTAGAGCTATGTGCCGCAGTGGTAGCAGCTCAACTGGCTACCAGGGTGAAAAATGACCTAAGGCTTCAGAATAATCCGATGTTTTTATGGACTGATTCTGAAATAGTACTCGCCTGGATAAAATCAAGGTCCAACGTATATAAGACTTTTGTGGCTAATATGGTATCCACCATACAAAACTTAACATTGCCAGAACAATGGAAACACGTTAAGTCAAAAGAAAATCCTGCCGACATTTTATCCCGAGGACTCTCGCCAGCTGATCTTTCTAAATGCCGATTATGGTTTCATGGTCCAGTTTTTCTTCATGGAAAGGCATTCTTCGCGTTGGAGGAAGGTTGGAACATGCTATGCTACAAATGGATGCGAAACACCAAATGATATTGCCTTATAATGATCAAAAAATGTTATGATAGTAGGATCTAGTGCGATTCAGTTCAAACACATAAATTTGAACTGACACTTAGTATCCAAATTAATTTCCTTCCAAGCACATGAACTTGAAGGAGGCCGCCTAGATAGTAATTAAAACTCTTAGTTTAGTCACTACAAAAGACGACTGAATTTTCTTTATTTCTGGCTGTCTTTATATACAAAATTTCTTAACATAATTAATTAAAAAATGCTATTGATAAATGCTGATATAAATTAATTGTAATGTAGGTCGGTTACTAGTAGACATTAAATGCTATGTAAGCAAAATAAATAAATGTGTTAAAGAAACTTAAAAACATTGCAAAAGTGAATGAACCAATGGCCAATGAACTAAAATAAAGAAAATTAACTGTAACAATAAAATAGTCCAAATATGTGATATAATAATGCTGTATAAGCAGTTTAAAACTTATAAATATGTAGGTGTGCTTGATTTTTGTATTTATTGTTTGTTTTGGTAATTAAATCTAAAGTATGTTTATAGAACAATAAAAAAAAAAAAAATATTTATGTATGTTTTAACATTCTCCGCCGCGTTGACATTGTTCAATGAGTGCGCCTGGGTTGGATGCATGTGGGAATGACTCCATTGTAACATCGATTGTTGATTGATAAGATCTTATAGCTGGTGTAGGTATGAATTGAGATGGCTTCTTAAATTTTGTGTGGATCCTCCAACTCAGCAGGCCAAGTAAAATAAGAATGCAGCAAGCTAAAGATGCGTAGCTAACTGCATGATGATGTTGATTTGATGAGTGTATTAATTGTGGTAGGTGTTTTAGAGTTGATTCATGCAACTGTTTTTGTATATTATCCAATTCTTCTTGATGAATCTTGTAAGAGGTGGTATTGGTATTTGTTGAAACCTTTTCAATTTCCTCTTGTCGACTTATATATTGAATGCCTTTCAATCTTACATAGGATGTATGTAAACTACTGGAAGCTGCAAAATGTCCATGTATCGTAACAAATTTGTTTTTTATTACGCAGTTAGGACCAATTTCCATTATTCCGGAATTTTTAATGATGATGAGGTTGGTTTCAGATCCGCATACCATTGAAGATTCAATATCGGCTGTAGTAGCAAAGATCCATTTATTTTGATGATGTAATTGACTCCAAACTGCTGTTCCAGTAATTTTGTGAAGACGGCAATTGCTAGTTGATTGGTTATTGAAGATATTGATCTCGCAAGGGTTAACAAGTGCATTTTTCTTGAGCTTTGACTGCTGATTTCTGCAAATATATTCATCATCGTTTGGTTTGAGACAGCTTGAAATATCCTCTGATTTGACAAGAATATATTCTTCTCTATGTGCATCGGTAGATATGTATTCCGTTTCTGGTTGAATGGCGATTAAGGTGTCATTTTGTATTGTTGGAACTGCAACTATTTTGAACAACTCAAAAAACTGTTGGTTAACTAAGGGTATCTTCACTTCAAAAATGATTTCATATTTTGTAACTGCCCCTTTGACACTCATAAGCTTATAAAGTTGAATCAAATTGTCACCTGATGTTGGCAACGCATGTGAAATTGGGAGATTAGCCTTAATGACACTAATTTCTTCTTTCAATTGTTGAGGAGCCAATAACAGGGGACTTATTTTTCCATGATGAGTATCAGTAAGTACATTAATGATTTCGGCCTGTGTTCTCTGTAGCTTTATTGCGGATAACATCAAATGCGTTGATAGAAGTCCAAACAGTTGATAATTGTTGAATTGGGCGGATTCTTCAGCTATATCGTTATTGTGTTTGTCAATCATTTTCAAAATCTCCCGTATTTTTTGATGAGTGTTAATCTCATCTCTTTTTATAACATTAATAGTTGAATCAATTATTGAAGTCTGATTTTTCAATAGACTGATTATGTGGTCCTGTTCGCCTTTTGCCTGGTTGATAGTCTTTGACATTTCTTCCGCATAGTCCGTATCAAGAACGCCAAAAAGTGAGTGCGCAATATTCCCAATTATGTTGAATGGAGATCTTTTTACACGTTTGTTGATGAATAATTCTTTGTCTTGTAGTAATTCATTTTTCGTCTGCTTCAGGTTGTTTACAAAAATGTTGCACATCTCATGCTGATGCATTACATGGCACATTTGCTGCAACGTTTGTAAGCCGGATGCCAATGACTCTATTTCCGAAACAAAGGGCTTTAAGTCATAATATACTAACATCTTCCATTCTGCTGTATTCAATTTCATTGTTCCTAACCCTTCAAAATACAATCCTGGATCATTGTGAAATTGTGTAACTTTCAAATTGTTGCACAGGACCATAGGTATTAGGAACAATGTTAATAATACTGATAGTATTATAGGACTGTTTGCAATTCTCACTCTTTTTGCCGGAATGACATCTCTTCCATGTTCATCTGTTACCGATTTTTTCTTGTGGGAAATTGTGCTTTCTTGAGTTGTATCTTTGTCAATTATAGCATTATCATGATCTTCTGGACCCATTATTTGTTGATACCGTTGTGGTCGCGCTCTATTACATTTTATGCATCTTTGAACGGTAGACCTTGCTGTTATCTTGCCTTTTATTGGCCAGAATCGCTGTCTTTTTGCGTTTAACAAGGCTTGAACTCCACAATGTTTATTTTCTTCATGAACTGTCTTAAATAGCAATTTCACCAAAGGATCATTATAAGGCAATATCATTTGGTCTTCAAATCAAATCTTCCTCCAACGCGAAGAATGCCTTCATCATCCAAAAACGGTGATAAACTGCATAGCGAGCTATGCTTATTAATCTGCTTTTCAGCCTTCAATGCGTTGATATCAGCTGCAAATTCGGATGATTGTACGGCTTGAATTATTCGACGAAGGGAGTCGTCTAATTCGTTGGAAGACAGTGCTATATGTTGAGGCCGGTGTGCCTTTTGCATACGTGCATTGCTGGTGAATCTAAGCACGTATGCTAAAATTCTTTGTAACTTCCTGAATGAATTTTTGTGCTCGATCATATGTATTAGATGCATGTCAGAAGCTACTATTGACGTCGTAGCTGCAGTCTTTAACTCCATGCTATTTGTTATATCCTCTTGCGGAGAGAATTTGGTCGGCCATAGTTCTTCCCTTTCATGAAGAAAAACTGGACCATGAAACCATAATCGGCATTTAGAAAGATCAGCTGGCGAGAGTCCTCGGGATAAAATGTCGGCAGGATTTTCTTTTGACTTAACGTGTTTCCATTGTTCTGGCAATGTTAAGTTTTGTATGGTGGATACCATATTAGCCACAAAAGTCTTATATACGTTGGACCTTGATTTTATCCAGGCGAGTACTATTTCAGAATCAGTCCATAAAAACATCGGATTATTCTGAAGCCTTAGGTCATTTTTCACCCTGGTAGCCAGTTGAGCTGCTACCACTGCGGCACATAGCTCTAATCGTGGTAGAGTTTGTTTTTTCAAAGGAGCTACCCTGGATTTAGCGCAGATCAGACGTACAACTACTCGTCCATCTTTTCCAATAAAACGAATATAAATAGGCAAACACATGCAACTGGATTTTCGTCGGGATCTCCCCACAGAATACATGTCGCGGTATCTTAAAGTTGTTGAGACCTTCCAATTCCCTTCGAAATGTTTTCCAAATGGCACAAAGTTTTTCGGGTAATGCTTCGTCCCAATCTAATGTATGTTGCCACAGCTGCTGAATAAATATTTTTGCCTTCGCCACAATCGGTGCAAGTAGGCCAAGCGGATCAAATAATTTTACTAGTTCAGACGTAACTACTCGTTTTGATATGATTTCATTATGATCAATGTTCGTTTTTACACAAAATTGATCTGCTTGCGGCATCCAATATAATCCCAACGTCTTTATTGTTTGAGATTTGTTGAGATCCAGGTTCACTTCTCGATCGCTATGTGGTATGTCCTTCAGCAATCTTGGTGTATTAGAATGAAGCCGTGTTGTTTCAAGATTGTTATTAACTCCTTTTGTATTTCAATAGCTGTACTTAGGCTATCTGTACCGCCGAGACCGTCATCCATATAAAAATTATCTTTCAGCATTTGTGAGCCTAATGGATAACGCTCCATGTTCTCGTTTGCAATCTTTTGTAAGCATTTTGTAGCCAGATACGGTGCTGAACGTGTCCCATATGTGACCGTATTAAGTATGTAATAACTGACTGGATGGGATGGATCCTCTCTCCAGATAATTAGCTGATACCTTTGATCATCGGGATGCATTAAAATCTGCCTGTACATCTTTTCAATATCGGTTGTGAAGACGAATTTTGGCAATCGAAACCTCAGCAAAATAGAAAACAATTCACTTTGTACGATTGGTCCTGTATACATTAGATCATTTAACGATTGACCTGATGAAGTTTTCGCTGATGCGTCAAATACAACCCTAAGTTTTGTTGTTGTACTATCGGGCTTAAGAACACAATGATGCGGAATAAAATATTTAGGATTTGATACGGTACACACGTCAATCTTTTGCATGTGTCCTAATTGTTCATATTCTCGCATAAATTTAATGTACTGACTTCGGATATCTTCCTTCTGTAGAAGTCGGCGTTCAAGGCTCATAAATCGGTTATAAGCCATTGCATGTGATTTCCCCAATGCTGTTGGAGATTCTTGAAACGGAAAGCTGACGATGAAACGACCATTCTGATCCGTCTTAACATGTTGATTGAAGTGAGATTCGCAAAGGGTTTCTAATGGAGACATGACCTTTTCAGTTGATTCCACTTCCTCAAGTTTCCATAATTTTTCGATAGCTTGTTCCAGTGATGTTTCACTAAAAATTGCGCATGTTAGCGCTGCTGATGTGTCGTCCGTTGACGATTGTTGAACTAAACCACCTACAATCCAGCCAAGCGCAATATTTTGGAGTATGGGTTGATGACCATTTAGTTTTATTGTGCCTGGTTGCATTAAACTGAAGTAAAACTCAGCTCCGAGTAAAATGTCAATTTTTCCTTGAACGTTAAAATTAGGGTCTGCTAATCTAATATTCTTGGGAATTTGCCAGTTTTGTATATCCAAATCATGATTTGGTTGCGGAGGTATAATTGTGGGCAAAACAAATGCTTCCAAATTTGTGGAAAATTCAGAATTGCTTGATAACATTTGTATGTTTACCCGATGATAAGCCTTCTTCTGAATCCTTCCGACTCCGGAAATAGATAAAGAGGCATCTGCTGTTCTAAGTGACAATTTTTGTATGAGTCTTTCCGTCACAATGTTCACTTGCGAACCCGAGTCTAACACCGCTCTAAATTCGCCTGACATACCGTTAGTCGCTTTGATGATGACTCTAGCCGTTGCTAGAATTACATTTTTCTGATCTTCTGCTGATGCCGAAGAAACTGCAGTAACGTTAACTGGTGCGATATCGATTTTTGTTGGTGGTGATTGATTTGAGGCCTTCGGCGACGGTTGAGACTTTTTTGGCAAATGTAGCAGTGTATTGTGCTTATTACTACATATTTTGCAGTTGCCAGAAAAACAAGTTTTTGCTGCATGGTCCGATTTGAAACAATTTACACACAATTTATGTTGCTGTATCCATTTCAATCGCTCACCTTCTGTCATTGCCAAGAACTTCTTACAATGATAAATTGGATGGGAGTCGTTCTTGCATAGTTTACAACTCCTGTGATCCTCCACTGATGTTACGGACGAAACAGTTTTGGTTGAACCCTTGTGCGTAGATGCCGCTTTTCCAATCGATTCCATTGATTCGAATTGAAGTTCCAAAAATGAAAACAGCTCTTTCATAGTAGGAACTTCCTTCGGATTCGCCAGTGATTGCATGAATCGTATGTACAGAGCGTGATCCAATTTCTTTGTGATCAATTGAATCAATAGAGCATCCCAAGACGTTGTGTCGATTTGAAGATTGTTGAGGGCTAGCATGCATTCCTTTGTATTGTCATGCAGAGCCTTGATATAGGCCGTTGATGAAGTTCCATTTGGTTGACTCAAAATCCGTTCTACTAGAGTGGAAACAAGAACCCGCTTATTGTTATAACGTTCTTGCAGCAACATCCATGCCGTTTTGTAATTATCCTCTGTCAAGGATAGATGACTGATTAGTTTGCCAGCCTCGCCAGACAAATTGGTTTTGAGATACCACATTTTTTGAACACTTGGAAGAGACTGTTTGTCTACCATCTCCAAGAAAAGTTCATAGAACTGACGCCACTTCAAACAATCCCCATTGAATTGAGGAATTGTTACCTTTGGTAGTGGGAGTGAACTGTGTGCTATAATGTCACTCCCTAATTGAGGTGCAATGGTCACGGTTTCGCTGCATTTGTCTTTCAAGACTGCAAGTTTTATTAAGTTGTCTTGTACCGAATCTTCCAGCATATCGTAGTTTTCTTGACTTAATCCAATTTTCGATGGATCTTCAATCTGCTGCAATATTTCATCGTAGAGCTCCGTTATTTGATTCCATAGCTTTTTTTATAGTATCTTCTTTGATGCTATAAAATTGCTTCGGCTGTTCCGCTTCGATTGTGCCCAAGCCTTGCAAGTGACGACTAAGGGCACTCATTCGAGCATTTATCATTCTGACAAGCCCATCAACACGGGAAGGTATTTTGTCTCCTGCGACAACTTCAGTCGATTTCTCTCTCAAGGTGGGAACTGGCTTACTTTTGGCTGACCTCAGTTTCTTTATTTCCGCGTCTATATATTCCATTGTTGAGCTGAACTTCTCTCCAATCGTTCTATATAGATTCCGAGCAATATACGGATCATCCTCTGACAATGATGGATCATCGCGAATTCTGTTTTCTGCCTTCTCAAAATTCTGCCATAACAGCCTTAGTTCATCAAGTTTGCTCTTGTAGAACTCTTCCGTTCTACTTTCAAGAGGTGCCTTCTTTATAGTAGAGACGAATTTTTCGAAATTGCTGCCTCTTTCTTCTTGCTGAGAAATAAGCTCTTGAACGTTTGCCATTATTGTTTGTTGATTTATCAGCGAGTAGCAGCAGTTGTTGTATGATGATTAGTTACCGGCAATTTCCTCCTGGTTTTCCTCCAGAGCTCCAAAAGGGGGTTTTTGAAATTGGTACGCGTGCGTTACGTCCTCACACCTTGTGGATAACGTCACCAAAAATGTTTCGGTTTAGTTATCGTCAGGATCACGTCTTACGATTCAAATCCTTTACCACTTGTGGGCAAAAGGATGTGTGTAAACGATCACGTCTTACGATTCAAATCCTTTACCACTTGTGGGGCAAAAGGATGTGTGTAAACGATCTCGCCGGGGCCACCAAAAAAAAATGTTTTGATCGGGGTCACCAAAAAAATGTTATGATAGTAGGATCTAGTGCGATTCAGTTCAAACACATAAATTTGAACTGACACTTAGTATCCAAATTAATTTCCTTCCAAGCTCATGAACTTGAAGGAGGCCGCCTAGATAGTAATTAAAACTCTTAGTTTAGTCACTACAAAAGACGACTGAATTTTCTTTATTTCTGGCTGTCTTTATATACAAAATTTCTTAACATAATTAATTAAAAAATGCTATTGATAAATGCTGATATAAATTAATTGTAATGTAGGTCGGTTACTAGTAGACATTAAATGCTATGTAAGCAAAATAAATAAATGTGTTAAAGAAACTTAAAAACATTGCAAAAGTGAATGAACCAATGGCCAATGAACTAAAATAAAGAAAATTAACTGTAACAATAAAATAGTCCAAATATGTGATATAATAATGCTGTATAAGCAGTTTAAAACTTATAAATATGTAGGTGTGCTTGATTTTTGTATTTATTGTTTGTTTTGGTAATTAAATCTAAAGTATGTTTATAGAACAATAAAAAAAAATATTTATGTATGTTTTAACATGCCCAATATCAGTTCACTTCTGGTAGGCAATAACCGTCTGATGCTAGGGGATTTCAATGCCCATCATGAATTATGGCATTCCGTCCTAGGTAATGACCAGAGAGGCATGGCGCTGGCTGAGCAAATTGATAGCTCCACGTTTTGTACAGTAAATAAGGACGCGTCCACCAGAATAAGGGGATACTGCCACAGTTCACCGGATATATCCATATCCATCTTGTCCCCAGGTCTGACGAATGACGTAACTTGGCAATCAGTCATTTCTCTAGTCTCAGACCTCCCCATTATTGTCGCCTTCAACAGACCATCCGACTTCATAGACTCTTAACGCCGCATTTTCCTTAATCATGGGAAAGCCGATTGGCAAGAATTCAGAGAATATGCCAATCGCTATATACCTTCTGGTCGAATACCTGAAATAAGACTAAATTCCAGCAGAGGCAGCGGGATTAGCAAACGAGCGAGATGAGCTTCGCCGTACGTACCCTAATAACTCCAGAGTCAGGGAACTTACTCTGGAAGTAAGCAGGTTAGTAGGTGAGTATAAGCGGAAAAAGTGGTTAGTACATCTGAAGCATTGCAACATCAGTACCGGAACAAGTAAATTGTGGGCAACGGTTAAGTCGCTCTCGAACCCTGGGAAAAGGACGATCGGACATCTGTCTCATTTACCGGCGCAAAAGTGACAGATCCGAAGAGGTGCGCGTGATATTTCAACCGGCAGATTGTAGAGCTCCCCGAGATTGACAGGGCTCAGAGAAGGATCCTACGCCGTTTACAATCCCTTCTAGCCGAAGAGTTACCACCACAATTTACATTGGAAGATGTTGCACGTGTCATCAGAAGCGCAATGTCATCCAAAGCGCTTGGTCCTGAGGGAATCTCTATGGTGATGTTGAATCAACTGGATGAACCAGGAGTTGAGTATCTTACAAAGCTCTTCAATCTGTCGTTAGCCACATTGGTAGTTCCCGATTCCGAAAATTGCACAGCAGAGGTCTCAATCAGAACAAGCCGTGCGATAGAACAGTTATGGTGGCACTTGATTTATCAAAAGCCTTTGATACAGTCAATCATGCCACTCTGTTTGAGGACATTGAGCCCACCGCCCTCCGGCCAAGTTTGAAACGTCGGTTAGTAAACTACATGTGCGGACTCGTAGAGTTAAACAGGGAGTTCCCCAAGGTAGGGTGATATCTCCGGAACTGTTTAACCTCTACCACGCCCTCCAGACGGCATAGAGATTATCATGCATGTCACAGAAATTAATTCCGTTCGGAAGTGGAATTAATTCCGTATTAAGCTTCTCCAGAAAACGAATTTTTTTTCGGAATGGAACCACTTTTGATTTTGAAAGTGGAATTGCTTTTATTTGAGAACTTGTCACTTTTAAATACTCTGAAATTGCTTTAAAGTAATAAAAATATTGTTTTTAATAATAAATTCACATAAAAGTTCACATTTTTGGGCTTTTTATTTCAAAATTTTCTAATTTTTAGTTATCAATAGATATTTAGCAATAAATGAAACCACTTTTTAGCAAAGTGTTGCCACATGTTTTTTCTTTAAAACAACCACCGTTTTCTTTAATAATTTAAAGGAATGATATACTAAAGCAAAAGTAGAAAAAAGAAAAACAAACCAAAAGTTGTCAAAGCATACAAAATGTAAGTATTTTAAAATGTATAAATTTGGAAATGTTAATTAATTATTTGGTCATTTAGGGGAAAACACAGAAGTTCGGAGCAGGAAAAAATTTTTATAGATTTTATGGAGAGCCACCAGGACCTAGCCAGAGGATATGTGAAAGGTGATAGAGTTGTTGCTGTAGCATATTGGTCACAACTTACCGAAAAACTGAATTCTTCAGGACCACCCACCAAGGATTGCAATGGCTGGAAAAAGACGTGGGCAGACTGGAAAGTGTACATTAAAAAAAAATGTGCCACAACAAAAAGAGAATGCAAAAACTGGGGGTGGTCCTTATAACCAGTGGTGCTCAAAACCGTGTTCTAGAACATGAAGAGAAAAAAGAGATAATTTAAGAGAAAATTAAAACTCTATTTTACTTTATATTTTACAGTTCTATTTAATTGTTTTTAAACAAGAAGGTTTGCCAAAATAATAAGTAAAGCAAATGGATAAAAATATTTGTGTAAATAATGACTTAACACTGTTTTGTTCTTGATTAAAATAAGCAAAGAGAAATTTGAATGAAAAGAGATATTTCTTTTTGGGCACCGCTGTTATAACAAGTATGTGCTTAGTGAAATTGAGGAATCAGTGGCAGTATTGTGTGGTCTCCATAAAAGTGTTGAAGGCATTGAAGGAACAAAAAGTTTTGGAGAGGTGGATGTGTAGGAATTTTTTGACGGGTTAGGGAAAGAACATGGGAACAATACGCACGATGTGATGCCATCAACATCAAAGGGCTTAAAACGAGCAACCTCAGGAAATAAAGAAAATAGCCGCTTGGACATTACATTATCGCCTTCCCACTAAGTATGTCATTCACCGTCGCCGAAACGAGTTAGAGCACGTACTCCTAAAACAGAATTAAATAATCTATTAAAGGAGGAGAACAGTCATTTAAAAAGAATTGTCGATCTTATGGAAAAGGAGGACAAAAATAAGAAAAAAGGGGAGATCCTTAATGTAATGGAAGAACAGCGAGAAGAAATGAAGGCACAAAATGAAAAATTAGAGAAGCTTTGCAATATCCTACATTCCAATTCAAACAAATATTTTCAAACAAATATTTTTTTATTCCAAACAAATATTTTCAAATTGAAAGCACAGAAAGAAATAAACAAACAATGCAAGACATCTGATTAAATGTTGATGAATGAGTAGAAGAAGAATGATTGCAAAAAGAAATTTGTTTAGCAAGAATTTGCAAAATCTCACTGAAAGAACTATCAAAATTTCTCTCTCCAACCGCTCTCTTTTGCAGAACTTTCGGCTTAACAGACATCTTCCAGACTAACCAGACACACTATAGTAATCAATCCCATGGCGGCCGGTTCTATGTACCGGATTGACTCGGAGGTACAAATCTCCGACCAGGGGCCGCCAACCCAGCAAATACATGTTCGTGTTCGTTCATTTGTGTGGAGCAATATTACCCGGAATGTTTGCTCCGTATTCTCTTAGTCCGAGCCGGGATCGAGACCAACCCCGGACCATGGATCTGTTCCGTTTGTTGTAATCGCATCCAGCACTGATCGGTCTCGGTGAAATGCAACGGATGCATGGAGTGGGTGCATTTCCGGAATTGTTCCGGCTTAAACCGGATACAGGAGTACAGAGATAGGGACTACATTGCTTCCTGCTGCGTCAATGTAGACCCCAGTGAGTCTTCATCTTTGGTGTCCTCATCGTCGTCGCAATATGAGACTGCCCCGCTTCATAGTCTGAAGAACATTAAGATCGCAGCGATCCAGGAAACGTAACTGAGTACCACCTGCAGGCTTCAAAGTTTTGATGAATACAACGTACTAAGGAAGGAGCGCTCCAAGGGTGCACGAGGAGGATTAGCGTTCCTATTGCACCACTCTGTCCAGTACAGACCTATCTCGCCTGAGCTTGGCTCTAGTGACCCGTACATGGAATGTATGGGGGTAGAGGTCAAGTGTGGAACCGCCGAGGTAGAGGTGCTTAACGTGTACATTCCGCCGTTTAATAGCTGTGCTCCACGTTATATGCCCAATATCAGTTCACTTCTGGTAGGCAATAACCGTCTGGTGCTAGGGGATTTCAATGCCCATCATGAATTATGGCATTCCGTCCTAGGTAATGACCAGAGAGGCATGGCGCTGGCTGAGCAAATTGATAGCTCCACGTTTTGTACAGTGAATGAGGACGCGTCCACCAGAATAAGGGGATACTGCCACAGTTCACCGGACATATCCATATCCATCTTGTCCCCAGGTCTGACGAATGACGTAACTTGGCAATCAGTCATTTCTCTAGTCTCAGACCTCCCCATTATTGTCGCCTTCAACAGACCATCCGACTTCATAGACTCTTAACGCCGCATTTTCCTTAAGCATGGGAAAGCCGATTGGCAAGAATTCAGAGAATATGCCAATCGCTATATACCTTCTGGTCGAATACCTGAAATAAGACTAAATTCCAGCAGAGGCAGCGGGATTAGCAAACGAGCGAGATGAGCTTCGCCGTACGTACCCTAATAACTCCAGAGTCAGGGAACTTACTCTGGAAGTAAGCAGGTTAGTAGGTGAGTATAAGCGGAAAAAGTGGTTAGTACATCTGAAGCATTGCAACATCAGTACCGGAACAAGTAAATTGTGGGCAACGGTTAAGTCGCTCTCGAACCCTGGGAAAAGGACGATCGGACATCTGTCTCATTTAACGGCGCAAAAGTGACAGATCCGAAGAGGTGCGCGTGATATTTCAACCGGCAGATTGTAGAGCTCCCCGAGATTGACAGGGCTCAGAGAAGGATCCTACGCCGTTTACAATCCCTTCTAGCCGAAGAGTTACCACCACAATTTACATTGGAAGATGTTGCACGTGTCATCAGAAGCGCAATGTCATCCAAAGCGCTTGGTCCTGAGGGAATCTCTATGGTGATGTTGAATCAGCTGGATGAACCAGGAGTTGAGTATCTTACAAAGCTCTTCAATCTGTCGTTAGCCACATTGGTAGTTCCCGATTCCGAAAATTGCACAGCAGAGGTCTCAATCAGAACAAGCCGTGCGATAGAACAGTTATGGTGGCACTTGATTTATCAAAAGCCTTTGATACAGTCAATCATGCCACTCTGTTTGAGGACATTGAGCCCACCGCCCTCCGGCCAAGTTTGAAACGTCGGTTAGTAAACTACATGTGCGGACTCGTAGAGTTAAACAGGGAGTTCCCCAAGGTAGGGTGATATCTCCGGAACTGTTTAACCTCTACCACGCCCTCCAGACGGCATAGAGATTATCATGCATGTCACAGAAATTAATTCCGTTCGGAAGTGGAATTAATTCCGTATTAAGCTTCTCCAGAAAACGAATTTTTTTTTCGGAATGGAACCACTTTTGATTTTGAAAGTGGAATTGCTTTTATTTGAGAACTTGTCACTTTTAAATACTCTGAAATTGCTTTAAAGTAATAAAAATATTGTTTTTAATAATAAATTCACATAAAAGTTCACATTTTTGGGCTTTTTATTTCAAAATTTTCTAATTTTTAGTTATCAATAGATATTTAGCAATAAATGAAACCACTTTTTAGCAAAGTGTTGCCACATGTTTTTTCTTTAAAACAACCACCGTTTTCTTTAATAATTTAAAGGAATTATACAATATGGCACTACGAATGATATACTAAAGCAAAAGTAGAAAAAAGAAAAACAAACCAAAAGTTGTCAAAGCATACAAAATGTAAGTATTTTAAAATGTATAAATTTGGAAATGTTAATTAATTATTTGGTCATTTAGGGGAAAACACAGAAGTTCGGAGCAGGAAAAAATTTTTATAGATTTTATGGAGAGCCACCAGGACCTAGCCAGAGGATATGTGAAAGGTGATAGAGTTGTTGCTGTAGCATATTGGTCACAACTTACCGAAAAACTGAATTCTTCAGGACCACCCACCAAGGATTGCAATGGCTGGAAAAAGACGTGGGCAGACTGGAAAGTGTACATTAAAAAAAAATGTGCCACAACAAAAAGAGAATGCAAAAACTGGGGGTGGTCCTTATAACCAGTGGTGCTCAAAACCGTGTTCTAGAACATGAAGAGAAAAAAGAGATAATTTAAGAGAAAATTAAAACTCTATTTTTCTTTATATTTTACAGTTCTATTTAATTGTTTTTAAACAAGAATGTTTGCCAAAATAATAAGTAAAGCAAATGGATAAAAATATTTGTGTAAATAATGACTTAACACTGTTTTGTTCTTGATTTAAATAAGCAAAGAGAAATTTGAATGAAAAGAGATATTTCTTTTTGGGCACCGCTGTTATAACAAGTATGTGCTTAGTGAAATTGAGGAATCAGTGGCAGTATTGTGTGGTCTCCATAAAAGTGTTGAAGGCATTGAAGGAACAAAAAGTTTTGGAGAGGTGGATGTGTAGGAATTTTTTGACGGGTTAGGGAAAGAACATGGGAACAATACGCACGATGTGATGCCATCAACATCAAAGGGCTTAAAACGAGCAACCTCAGGAAATAAAGAAAATAGCCGCTTGGACATTACATTATCGCCTTCCCACTAAGTATGTCATTCACCGTCGCCGAAACGAGTTAGAGCACGTACTCCTAAAACAGAATTAAATAATCTATTAAAGGAGGAGAACAGTCATTTAAAAAGAATTGTCGATCTTATGGAAAAGGAGGACAAAAATAAGAAAAAAGGGGAGATCCTTAATGTAATGGAAGCTTTGCAATATCCTACATGATGATTCTAAAGCTAGACAGCTTAACAACGTTGCAGAGCAAAAACTGTTAAAAGAAAAAAATGAGTTAAAATTGAAACTACTCGAAATTGAAGATTAAAAGCTTCAAATTGAAAAAGAGAAGGCAAAACAATACTAAGAAGCCAAACAATACATATTTTGATCTCTGCAACTATATAGTTCAAATAGATTAAGTTTTCTAAGTCAAAATGAAATTCCAAATAAGTTCTTTTTTTTACATATAATGTATTAAAATTAGTTTTATTAATAATATTTAAATAAAAAATGAATTACCTTATACATATTTTAATATTTAATTTAAACCTAAAGCCATGTTATCCCTCAGTCGTTTGGCGATGTTGTACATATTTGCTTGGGGTGACTCTTCAACATCGCCTACGTTTGCTTCATCATTTCCATGTGTCTCAGGTATAGGTTCTTCCTCCCATACCACATTCAATTCCCTGCATATGTTATGAAGGGCACAACACACGTTTGTAATGTTAACCGCCTTTTTGGGTACCATGCAAACTTCGAAATCGGCTTTTCAGCACGCCAATTGTCCTTTCAACAATGTTGCGACCGGATGCATGGCTGTTATTAAATTTGTGTTGGACTGTTCCGGCAGCAACATCTTTGTACGGAGTAATTAAAAAAGGTTCCAAACCATACCCAGAATCACCGAGTAACAAAGAATTTGTGTCCCCTTGGTTATACGAATTTAAAAAGTAATTCCTGGCATTGCACATGTTCCATATAAAGGAATCATGACAAGACCCAGGCCTGGAAGCATCTACAGCAAGCACTTTCATCCTATAATCGCAAATCTAAAAAAAAAATTGAATTATTAACGTAGATAAAGATTAACCTAGAATACTTGCAATCATGACGTTAAGGCTATACGTTCCTTTTCTGTTGAGAAAGAGGGACTCGTCTTCCCGTGGCTTGTTGATTTTAATGTGTGTGCCATCAATGCACCCTATGATTCCAGGTATCCTACATTTTTGGAAAAAATGCAATTTGGAATCAGATTTTTCATTTGTGGTCAATCGCAATTGTATCCACTGTGGGCAAATTGTATTTTCAATTGCGTATATATATATATATATATATATATATATATATATATATATATATATATATATATATATATATATATATATAATTTTGGAAACTGTGCTTCTTCCCAGAGAAATGTCAACGCCCTTGCCTTTAATTTTGGGAAGTTAGTAAATAGATGTGGAAAGTGCTAAGTAATTCTTACCTACCTTACCGAAGTGCTGTCGTCAATTGTAGCATTGGAGGAATTGATGATTTTGGAAGATGCTGGCTTATTTTGTCCATTACCAAAATAAAGGCTTCTTTGTTTAATCGGAAATAACTAATAGATCTAAAAAAAAAAGTTATTTTAATTTATAAATTAAACTTAAATGGTAATAACAAAAATACTCACACTGCATTGTGATAGGACAAATTTCTACGGCGTACTTTTTCAATACCCCGTTGATTAATTTGAGCATCAATCACAGAAACAATGTTTTTCACTGGGATTTAAAGAAATAAGATTACTTTAAAATGCAACAAATTTTTCCCGATTCTCTTTTACGTTGTTTTTATACCCTCCACCATACTATGGAGGGTATATTAACTTTGTCATTCCGTTTGTAACTCCTCGAAATACTCATGTCAGACACAACAAAGTATATATATTCTTGATCAGCGTAAAATTCTAAGTCGATTTAGCAATGTCCGTCTGTCTGTCTGTCTGTCCGTCTGTCTGTTGTAATCACGCTATCTTTCGAACGAATTGAGATACAAGGCTAAAATTTTGCACACAGGTTTATTTTTAGAGTAGGCAGGTTAAGTTCGTAAATGGGCCATGTAGGTCCACGTTTTCATATAGCCCCCATATAACGGTACCTCCCGATATTCGGTATTTTGATGATTTTAGCGACATTATTCACCGGAATTGTTTCAAATTTGGTATTTGAAGTTCGAAATGGATACTACAGCCTAAGACAGAAAATTGTCTGTGCAGGTCCACGTCTTCGTATAGCCCCCATATAACTGTACCTCCCGATATTTGGTATTTTGATGATTTTAGCGACATTATTAATCGGAATTGTACAAAATTTGGTATTTGAAGTTCGCAATGGATACTACAGCCTAAGACAGAAAATTGTCTGTTCAGGTCCACGTCTTCGTATAGCCCCCATATAACGGTACCTCCCTATATTCGGTATTTTGGTGATTTTAGCGTCTTTATTCACCAAAATTTTTTCAAATTACGCATTTAGAGTTCGTAATGGAAACTCCAGTCTGTGACAGAAAATTGTCTATGCAGGTCCAGGTCTTCGTATAGGCCCCATATACCAGTACCTCCCTATATTCGGTATTTTGACGAGTTTAGGTACAATACTCACCGAACTTGTTTGAAATGTCGTATTTGAAGTTCGTAATGGATGCTACAGAATATGACAAAAAATTGTCTACGCAGGTTCAGGTCTTCGCACAGCTCCGATATAACGGTACCTCCTTATATTCTATACTTTGATGATTTTAGTTACATTATTCGCGTTTATTTCAAGTTCCGAATTTGAATTTGGTAATGACTCATGACAAATAATGCCTGTGTGGGTCCACGTCGTATAGGCACCAATATAACGGCAATATTCGGTATTTTTAAAATTTTACCAAAATTTTTTCAGGATTTTATTTCCAAATTCGTTCCAAATGGTGGAGGGTACTCAAAGTTCGGCCCGGCCGAACTTACTACTTTTTAACTTGTTAATCATATGGTTTTGTTTTGATTATAGCAATGTTGCCATATTTTAACTAAGAAAAGCGATTCGTTTTAGTTTTCGGAATTCATAAAATCGATCGGAATCTAGAGAAGCTAAAACAAAAACGATCGAAATGCAATTACGGAATTGAAATCATTCCGATCGGAATCTGTGACATGCCTGATAGATTAAAAAGTAGTCGTGGTCAGTTCCTCTGCCCCAAATAAATACTTAGGGTTGGATGGAAAGTCAACAGTATCTTATGTAATAATTTTCAAACCGATATCTTCATTATTTTGGCAAATATTGGGCGTAAAAGTAGGCGTGGTCAATATTTTTTTCTTTAGAAACCTATCTTGGGGTATGACGAACGTTTGTACAAAAAATAATGCAAATCGGTCCGGCCGTTCTCAACTGATTCCATTACCAACGAACAACAATTGATTTTTATATATATAGAGTTATGTCAAAAGCGAAATGGACAAAATTGACTTTGATTTCCCTATAAATGGTCAAAATTTTAAATCATAACGCATAACAAAATGTAATTTAATAAACGAACGTTGTCTAAGGGAATACATATGTCGTAAAACCTACTTATACTTTTTTAATTGTTATTCGACTAATTTACGAACAGATGAATAAAAATTTCTAATGGAAGTAGGCCGCATCAAATATAGTTGGAAAATGTTCCTGAATATTGAATTTTAGAGAGTGTGTTGGGTAAGTCGTGTTTGGTAAGAGTGTGTTGGGTTTGTCGTGATAACATATGTTTTTGACATCTATGCTCCTGGATGTCCTTTTCAACCTTATATGGAAACACAATGGACAGAGGTAAAGTTTTTTGCGTATTTTTTCCAATGCCCAACTTAAACTTTGTTGAAACATTCACTTCGAGTTATCGTCTATATAATTTTGATCATGGTTCCCTGTGTGCTGATTATTTGTAGTAATCTAATTCCGGGGCCTTTTGGTTCATTGTGATCATCCTTAAGTAAATGTGTCTATAAATAAAGATAGAAGTGTTATTAAATAGAAGGAATTATATTTAAGTTGCGTTCGAATGAGAATCCATTAAATGCACAATTGCTTGAATAAAATGACCATACATCTAAAGTTTGAAAAGATCTCATGATCTTATTGAGTTTATTGTCATAATTTTATTTTGAACAGTTTAACATAAATTTATACATAAAGTTTTTGTAACATTTATGATAGTATATAATTATAGTGTATTTAATTAATATATGCCTAGATTTACTTTATAATATACATTTATTGTCAAAGGTATAATATTACAAAAGCTATACAATTGGTTGTGCAACAAAGATTAACTTATTTCAAAATTGTTTGAACCAGAAAAGACATATTTTTCCTAGATTGAATTACGATAACAGTTTAAGTTTGAGCTGGAAACGAGTATAATTTAAAAGACTAATACTGACCACTATACACACATTTATTTTAAGCATAGACAGAAAATAACTTATTTTAACATCGACGGTGAAACAAGTCTGTTGAAATTCTCAAAAAAAGCATTTTACTTTATTGTATTGCCGTTATGTTGTCATTTATTATTATTAAGAGCAATCACGAATTTATTTTCTGCGGAAAATTATTTTAAAGAGCAAAAATCTAACAAAATTGACATTCAATTTGACACTTTTCGCTCCAGTTTCGAAAATAAAAAAGTAGGGATTAATCAAACAATCCACACGGATTATAAAGATAAATATTATATCCCGAAAGATGACTATCGACGACAATTGAAATATTAGAAAATATTAAACAAAAAATACAAAATAAAATCTGATCAAAATAAAATGATTAATTCGACGCAAGAGCAAAATCGACATATTAATCATATTATTCTAACAATCATGCCTCCTCTGTTAATTGCCTAAACTGTAATTTTCAATTTTAAAAAAGCACACATTTTGCTGTCTTTTATATTTGCTGCAAGCTTTAAAATATTTTCTTTGTCGGTAATAAAATGATTAAAACCCCAGTAAACCTAGTTCTTGCATGCAATTATAAGCGGACTAACTACGTCTACTTGGATAGTTCACATATTCGAGATTTTTTTAGTGACATAATACATAATGTACGAGCAACAAAGTTGCTCGTACAATGAACTATCAAAACATTTTTGGAATTCAAAATTCTGAATGAAAGACTATTTTAATTAAAGTTGTTGAAAACACACAAATCATTACTGACTCTAACTACTGTTCTCCTCCTCCTCCTTTTGGATTTGAACGGTTTATTAAGACCTTTTTTGCAGTGAAATAGGTGAAGTCAACTTAGACCGTTGAATATACAAAATCTCTTACATTGAATGTCCCTAACAAATATGGTTAATGCACGCAACAGTTTGACTATTACAACCGACAACGGATCTAATATCTTACAAACAGTGAAAGAATAACGTAAGTCGATTTTGAAATGGCGATCAATGACATTGAGTCAACTCACTCTAAAATGTTGTCACACTTTGACGCGTTATCGCACACATGACACAAAGTTTTTCTATTCCTATATATTCATACGAATGGCTTTACGAACAGTCAAATACTCGCTACATCCTCAGCAAAACTCCCAATACAAAATATATCAAATTTACTACCATCTACCACTTCTCGTGTAATACAAGTAGTGATGATCATTCGAAGTTTGAACAAATCCTGATACGATGTATAATGTTTTTAACTAATCTGTTGTTTCCACATTTTGCGCAAATTTTTTTCAAATTTTGTAATATATTTAAAATGCAGGCATAGGTAAAATTATTCATTCAATTTACACTATTGAGTTTTATTTTTTATGCTTACATTTATATACAAGAAATAAAACACCTAATATTTTTTCACAAATCATAAAATGTACATCTGTGGTGTACTACCAGAACGTTATTTTTGATTTTCCGATACACTACTGCGGTACACTACGATTATCAATGTGTTGGAATTTGAAAATGCCACACATATGCACATAAAAAAATATTGACCAATTTAAGAATTTAAATAAGACAACTGAAATTAAATAGAAACAATTTTTGTAAGTCTGACTTTTTATGTGCTATGAAATCAGAACACGGACCATGCTAAACATTTCTAGAGATACAGTAATCTTCGAATCTCCGGATAGAGTTCAACAATCTTCAAAGACTTTCCTATAATGTTTATGTACGAGGAGCAGAATTGTCAGTGAAGTACTTTCGCATTGGGTAGCTTGCCAGTATTGTGACTGCATAAAATATGCCTCATTTGGAGAGTAACTAGCCCAAATTGAAATTGAATTTGTCCGGGCGGCCAGAATTTTCTCATAAAGTGTAAACCAATATTCACAACAAAAAGTCAATTGCAAGATGAGGTGTAAAATAAGTTTGCAATGTTCTTAATATATCCATGATCGGTAATACCTGAAGCAATTTCATTCCCACATTTCTGTACGATTTGGAGATTGTTCATAAATGAAGGTGCCAGGTAAAACAGTATACTCTATGCACACATTCTCTATGCTAAATTAAAATGTTTACGATTTAACAAAAAAATGTTAATATTTCAAAAATCAATGTTCTGATTTATGCAATACAATTTGGGTCAATTTTAATGTGTCAAGTAAATTTGTCTTGCTTACAATTTTGACATACAAAGTACCAACAAAAGATGCTTTGTTGTAATTTTCACCGATGTTGCTGGTGTTTTACCATGTGTGAAACCAATAAAACTAAAACAATTTTATAAATGAAAAATTGTTAATGTATGCAAAATATAAACATTTCTAAAACACACATGAAAAGAATGACAAATCAGGTACATATATCAAGGATATTATAGAGTCGTTATGTTTAGAAACAGAGATTTCTTGTATTTTAACAGCAAACCACTCGATGTAATCGAGAAATGCACATTTATATGCAATTCTATAGAAAAGCACTTTTTTCTAAACCGAGGGAAATTATCACGAAAAATGTGTGCAGATAAGCATTGTAAGAATTATTTGTCTATATGTATATAAATAAGTCTATGATATTTAAAACTCGGATCTGAAATTTAATTTGAATTAAAAACCAGTAAATAAAATACAAAATTTACCGACCGACTGTATGATAATTTAATATATAAACTTTTATATAGGGAGCAAATAGCAAATCATGCGAACTATGATCGTTGTTATGAAATTGATAAGACCTTAAGAAAATCGTTTGAAGCATATTTATTGGAGCTATGGCTATATCTCAACCAGTTTTCATCAAATTTGACACATTTCTTAGCCAAATTTGGTCGTATGTGCAATATCCACCCCTTTTGTGAACAAAAAAAAATTATAATAATAATAATAATAAAATTGGATAAAAATATATGTGGCAGCTATATCCAAATCTGAGTTGATATCGACAAGTTTTGGCAAGCTGTATCTAATATCGCATGCCAAAAATGTTAAGAAGTGCATATTACGGTTTGGTCGGAGTAAATTTTAATTTGGCAGAGCCATTTTTGAGCGGCGTCTGATATCTTAAAATGAATAATTGTTATTAACTTCATAGTAGGGTTGTAGGGGACAACAATCCGTTCGTATTGGATTAAACACATATATAGAATCTCTAGCTATATCTAAACCGATTTTCGCCAAATTTTATAAAGTTACATCTGGGCTAAATTGCTTCGTGTGTTTCAATATCCATCCAATATAAATATGTAAAGATGCTATATCCAAATCTGATTCGATCTCGATATTTCTTAGCTGGTTTTGATTTTTTTTTACCGAAAATCAATGTTATGGAGTGAATATTGTAAGAGACTGAAATATCAAATCGGATGAAACGTATGCATTGGAGCTGTAGCATTTTCTTCCAAAAAATGATGCACTTCAATCTAGGCCATTTTCGGTCTTTGGGTTAATATCACACATCGGATGAAAATATATATTGGAGCTATATCTAAATTAGGACCGATTATCACCGACTTCAATAGGGTACGTCCTTGTGAAAACATATGATTCATGCATATGATGAAAACATAAAATTTGTTTACAAAAATACAAGGACAGACGGACGGGCATGCATAAATCGACACAGATACCATCAAAAGGAACTATGAGTCTTCCTGTTTACTTCTGCATATTGCAAAAAATACACAAAGACATAATAACCTTACTACAGTGTGATGCAGGGTATAATACAAAATTTCAACTAAATGTAAATATGTTCACTTAAATATTACATTTGCATGGACACAGCCTCTGTTACAAAACACAAACATATGTATTATACTTAGTAGAATTTTGGTAAAATGGTTTTAGCTACTTTGGGACACAAATAAAGACTATAGTATTGGGAATGTTTTACGAAATTGTTGTAATAGAGCCATAATAACTGTTTTTCTTATTCCATCAAATAATTAATCAAAAATATAGACATTGATCGCAAACAAAATAAAAGTTAAAAACATTAAAAAAGTTACTACTATTGGTTTGGTAATCACGCTGAAACTGCATTATTTTTTTTATTAATAAATATATTCAATCGGCACTCGGATTTAATATTTGCGCAATGCTGGCATAAGTACCGAAGAAAAATCCACACAATCCAAATATTAGAATAAATATATCTTTCCACATAATCCAGTTGTAGCGTCCGAAACCGACGGGCCAAAATGTGATTATTTCTATAACCGGAGGAGCAATGAGGGCCAAAGTGGAACTGCTTACTGCACCAACAAGAGAAATTATTGGACCAAGATTTGGAATACATGCTGCTAATATAACTGCAAAAGAATTTAAAAGATGTAAAGTGGTGTTGAAATGTATGATAACTGCTAAAAAATAATAAAAATATAAAGATAATGAGTGAAAAAGTTAAATATATTTTAAAGGTCCCGATCTCTATTTCCAGCTGTAATTTGACATTCCAAGATTCAGCGGGTAGACTCTTTTCTCCCAAAAATATTTTACATAGATATAGGCCCACCCAATATAACAGAACTTTCAAAGTTTAGGGATCTTGCGGATAAGTCATGTTTACAGGAAGGTTTCCCCTTCCTCATAACTTAAAATTAATTTGAACGTGATCAATTTTCAATTCGAGTGTAATAATAGTCTAATTTGTAGATGTTTTAAACTTTAATACAGGTTAACTTTTATGATATTTACAGGCATGTCACAGAAACGAATTTCTATTGGAAGTGGAATTAATTCCGTCAGATCCCAATTCTAAGGAAACGACTCCTACCAGATCTTAACCAGATCATGGTAAATGACTTAAAAAAGTTAGGAAATTTCATAAAGGCAACTGAATTTCAAATATAACAGACTGTAAACTGCCCGTCTTCTTCGTAAAACCCTTAGGCTAGAGCGCAAAACAGGCCTATACTGGCTTAATTGTATGCCCAACAGGGCATGCGGTGAATTGTTTCACCCCTCTTTTCAACCTAACCTAATTCCGCCTTTTAAAATAATAGTTCCTAACAGACTTTTTAACGCTATTGTTAGCAGTTCGTTTTGGCTCGACGATAACTTCGTAAAAACGCTTCAATGCAAAGATAAGTCTTTAAAAGTCTTACCTGCACCAAAAAAACTAAATTCCTTTTTTCCGATCCATTATCAAATGTAGTATTAAATACTAATATATGATTTACTTAATATTTTCTTTCGTTTTCTGGAACGTGATTAAAATATGATGTTCTGTACACTGAATTATTCTCCGACAATTATCAAGTTTACATAAAGGATAGATTATTGAGAAAAGGTGGTAGGGCTTTGATAGCAGTTCATAATTCGATCCTTTAAGAAATTATTGATGTCTCATGCAATCCTAATAGCGAAATTATCTGTGCAAAATTAAATATCATTGGTAATACTTTATAGTTAACTTGTTCGTATATTTCACCTAATTCTGGACTTGAAACTTTTAAATTTAATTTCAATGCTGATTTATATGCAATAGTGTCTTCATTACCTACAGATAATTTGTGTAGGGGATTTTAAAATTCATGAACCTCAGATGACAGTAGTTTAGATTATATATCCTTGACTTGCACAACTGTATTTGATGTGTTTTAGGATACGACATTGGAGCTTTGTCTGTACCAAGCATATTACGTATTAAACGTTAAAGACAGCTTGTTAAACTTAATTTATTCGTCTTCATTGAATATTTCGATTTCTCTCCCTATGTTTTTTTTTTTTTTTTTGAGGACAGTTATCATCCTACGCTGTTGATAAATATCGAATTGGGAAATTCCTCAATTTAATTTCTACTAATGCTTCTATTGAAAGGCGTAACTTTGTTAAAATAATCATTGTCAAACTTCGCTCTCTTTTAACGGTTCTAATAGCTAATCTTCCAATATCCTAACAGAAGATAAAGTTATTTCTGGGTTAAAAACGCTACTCTCCTCATTCTCTCCAGGCGCTGATGGCTTTCTAACGCATATTCTTAAATCTCGTGCTAGTGAAATTTATGTACCTCTCCCAATAATTTTTAATTACTCCCTATCTAAAGGATATTTCACATGCTACTGACGATCGAGCTTTAATATTATTCTGCATATATCAGGAAATAGAAGTACCACTGATAATTAAAGGTGTGTCGCTAAATCAAGCTCTTCGAAATCTTGGTTTAGCGAAGGATATCACATAATGTTCACGGATAAGTAAACGTGTTTTCAAAATAAAAGAGAATAGCGGGTGTTACCTAGTGTAGATGAGAGGAATTTGTTAAACAGGGATCTTTTTAATACAGTCCAAATTAAATGAGAACAGAAAATGTGGTGAGCAGACCATCGCGTTAGAAATAAATAATTTAGAATTTTCAATTGCTGCATGTGGTATGTTAAGTTAGATTACCGGATGGAATCTTTAGTCAGACTGATAAGCATGTGCAGTATGTTTGCTTGCAACATGTCAAATAGCTGTGCGTGTTTATGCCCCCCCTAAGATTTATGGTGGCATGGTGCAGATACATATGTACAGTTAGCATCTCTCGCTCTCTTTTAACTTAATGTTTAATTAGGTTAAGTCATATTATTTTAAGTAGTTCTTAAAAAACGTGATGTCTCGTCTAAAACTAAGGATCGCGGTTTACATTGGTCTCTCTCTTTTAACCTAATGTTTAATTAGGTTAAGTCATATTATTATAAGTAGTTCTTAAAAAACGTGGTGTCTTGTCTAAAACTAAGGATCGCGGTTTACATTGGTCTCTCTCTTTTAACTTAATGTTTAATTAGGTTAAGTCATATTATCATAAGTAGTTGTTAAAAAATATTTTAAATAGACGTGGTGTCTTGTCTAAAACTAAGGATCGCGGTTTACATTGGTCTCTCTATTTTAACTTAATGTTTAATTAGATTAATTCATATTATCATAAGTATTTCTTAAAAAATATTTTTAATAGACGTGGTGTCTTGTCTAAAACTAAGGATCGCGGTTTACATTGGTCCTTTGAGTCGTAATAGTGGAGGATAGCGGAGCAAGTCAGCCGAATGCAACAGTAAGACTGTATTCAAAAGATGTTAAGGTAATCTTTGAGTACAGACATAAAATGCGAATTGGACGGCGAGCGGATGGAGCGCGAAGCGGTGGTAGCGGACATGACAAAAATGGAAGGTGATATCAAGGCAATGGGGGTTACCTTGATATCACACAAAAATGAAAATGTCTTCAAACCTGTAACGAAAATTGAATTAGAAAGTCAAAAATGCTATGTATGTAGCTGGGGAAACTAACGACGACCTGCGGCTAAGCAGGAGGCAGATCGCAAGAGCAAGGCTTTGAAGAAGGTAATAAGATAACTAAGTGAGGATTTGTCTTGTTCAAAGAAAGCACGCAGGTGAAAGCGACTGGAAGAAAAAAATGGAAGGCTAACTTTGTTGGAGGCTGATATATTTTAACTGAAAGAAGATTTCCCCCAGAAAGCATTCAAAACATCCGAAATCGAGGATGATGAATTGGCTCAAAAATTAGCGGTCAATATCAACAAAGATATGATGGTTGGAGAGGCCCATATAGACGTATCCACATGCCAAAAGAAGCAAAATGTCGTGTCGAAACGGAAAAGAGAATTAGTCAAGAATGAGCTGTACGCCAAAGAGATGAAGACGAAAAATATGGTCATCTGCGTGACTGGAATAATAATAAGCTCAAGGAAACACAAGTTGTCACGAATATGAATATGCCTAAAGATGGTGCAGCTAGAAAAATGCAGGCTGGAGTGACATGAAATTATGAGCGCTTGCAACGCTGGAACGATAATCTGCCCAAAGTATGTAAGATGGTCCTGCCAGAGAAATATCACATCATTGGCTGCAAAAAGAATACGACATACGAAGACAATTCAGCTTGGAAATTGAGACAGGCAGACAAAGGAGGTGGGCCGTTGGAGAAGTTTCATGGGTGCTACAACTTAACTTCTTCAGAAAATGTGGTGATCATCGAGTTAGAAATAAATAATATAGAATTTTCAGTTGCTGCATGTGGTATGGTGAAATGGTGGAGTTAGATTACCGGATGTAATCTTTACTCAGACAGATAAGCATGTGAAGCATGTTTGCTTGCCACATGTGAGATAGTTGTGCGTGTTTGTTTGCAAGAGTTTTCTCAGGAGAGAAACGGGTCTAACGAACCTGCGGGCCTTAGTTTGGCACGTACCTGAACGTGCAAAAAATCTTGCTGTCCTTACGGACATTAAGATCGAGCCCAGTAAGATCTTAATTATGGCATACTGGAAACCATATCCTTTGATTTTTTGAACCACTGGCCTGACGGCTGCAGTATTCCTAAACCTGAGTACGTGGGGTGAAATTTGACTGAAATGGCCTTCGGGTTAATGCTACAGCTGCCTTCGTCCTATTTTCGCCGTCATTTAGTTGGTGTTATAGGATCAGTTGACTGTTGTTCTGATTTATACGCGTCTGGCTCTGAACGCATAAACTCATAAGGATCCTGTGACAATCCTTGCATGGCCTCCCTGCTTGCACAGACAACCATGGGGCCAACAAACGTAACTACACATCGAACTAAGATAACGGCTATAAGTTTGGACCCCGTGAAAAAATGAATATTAATACCAATATTAATGGAGAAGTAGAAGAAAACATACCGATGCTAAACCCTTTAAAACCAAGCGGCGCCTTAATAAGGACCCCACCTAGAGTGATGGCTACACCGACATTCCAAGGTACAACCACATCCAGCACAAAATATGATGCATTTTATATTGCACGGCTAGAACTTGAGCAGGAGCAAGCATTTGTTAAACTCGGTAACAAATTGGTAACAAAGTGAAATGAATAATATAGTGAAGCAAAAAATATACATTAAACTATACACTAACAACTAAGAGAATATCGGGAAGCTCTTGCATTGGCCAAGGTTGTTGGTTATAAACAGGAAATAAAAATGATATACAAAGAAGTACAAATGGAAGCTCTAAGGAACATTCAAAAGTGAACTGCCCCTGTTCTCCTGAAAAGAGCAAATTAAATAGAAAAGTGTGGATGTTTGAACCAGAGGAAGAGATAGTTGAACATAAATAGACACCCCAGTGGTCTGTTATAAAACGGAAAAAGGGTAAATATAATTGTAATCCTGAAAAAAAAAATCAATTAGAATAACGGACGAGACGAAAAATGAATCGACATTTAAACTGGAAGAAATCGGTACCGGAAAAAGAAATATAAGCAAAACCAAAGACGGCAATGTACATATTGAATTTGAAAGAGGCGATGGAAACGCCAAGAAACTTCAACAGGACATTAAGACATCTTTA